GGAAAGTCACCAGACAGGTGGAGTAGGGCTAAGAGTGCCGAGTCCCTCAGGCTTTTTCCCTGGCCCCCAGCAGGGTGGAAGATGAAGACCCTGCAGGGTCTGGGCAAAGGCGGAGTGGTTCTGTGGCATGAAGAAAGGTTTTAGATGGGAGGTTCCGTTGTCTGGGGGCTTGGGGGTCAAGTGCTTGGATCCTTCACAGCACCTTGCCTGGGTTCATGAGCCCTTGGGGATCCAGCGTGGCCTTAAGCTGCCGCATGATCTCCATGCCCACGGTGCCCACCTCTTCCTGCAGTAGCTGCCGCTTACCCAGCCCAATGCCATGCTCCCCAGTACACGTCCCACGGAGTGCCAGTGCATGCCTGGGAGGCAGTGATGGGAGAGTCTTAGCAGGGACTCCTCCCACCGCCCTCAACTAGCCCTTCCCTCTGCGACCCCCAGGCTTGTGCCTACCTGCCCAGCTGTTCTGCAAAGGCCTTGACCCTGCAGTACTCCTCAGCATCCTCCGGGTCTATCAGCATGATGCAGTGGAAATTCCCATCGCCCACGTGTCCAACAATGGCTCCTGGGGGCCCAGAGGACAGAGCTGCTGCCCCCAGCCCAGCCCACCCCCAGCCCTGTCCTCTCCCCTCAGTGCCCCAGCAGCGGGCAGGCAGAACCTGTGAGTCCTGAGGCCTTCAGGTCCTCCTTGGTCTGCACCAGGATCTCCGGTAGCCGGGAGATGGGCACACACACATCGGTGGAATAGCCCTAGGGCAGGGCAGGCACAAAGGTAAGCAGTCACTGTCGTGGAGGCTAAGAACAGGTGTGAGGGGACTCAGGAGTTCTCCAGGCCTGGCCTGCAGAGGCTTTCCAAGCTCTTGCCTTGCTCCCCACCCCTGGCTGTGTGCAGCCCCCCAACACCCCACACTGCTGAACCTCTGCATGTGTGCCTGAAGCCCAGCTCCCCTTCCTGTTGGCTCTTTCTCCAGGAGGGCTGTCCTCTGCTCACAGCTCCTGAGGGCATCATGCTG